CCCCCCCCCAATCTCAGCCTAAATGTTTTATCCTCAAATTAGTCTTTTGCAGAGCCAGAACCTAATCCAAATCCAGAGGCCACACAATCCTTTTTACATGTATGTAAAAGCACTTAAATATTGGGAAGCGAGCCTCAGAAATACATGCTTTGCATTTTCCCATATTAAAAAGAAATAATTATCCATAAATTAATACTGGAACAGGCAAAAGCAACTTCATCTGAAATAATGCTTTTCCTCATTATCTTGTTCTTGTTAACCAGAGTTAGGGAATAATTTATTTAGATTTTCTGAACTACAAGCCCAAGTTCTAACCTAGCACGAACATTCAACTCCAGTCAAGTGAAGGAAGTTCTGCTCACAAACATTAGCAGCATATTTAACTCATCTCTGAAATTTCAGAAGGACCATTTCCTCTTTTGGACTGCATAGTGGGAGGCAGTCTACATAACCACCTCCACAGGCAGCCAAAAGAATGAGATCAGGTTGACTTTACACTTAAAAATAAATTCTTTATTATCCAGAAAGGAGCCAAAGCATCACCTCGTGTCATGGAAATGGTCATTTTTAAAGCAATAAATAAGTGGAGGGAGTGTTCTGTACCACACCCTAAATTTTGTCACTGGTATCTAATACCTCTCTAGTAAAAACATAATACTTATGCTATCAAAAATCTCACTGTACAACAGCTTTTCTGTTAAGGAAGGAAGGCCCCTAAAATCTTCTTTTGCTAAAGTAATAACAACCTGATTCAGCGAAACCCGAGTTCAACTGGTTTAATTCCTTTCATGCACAAATGCAGTATCTGACGCACAACAATCAACACAGCTAGAATTCAGCACGTTCATTTATACTAACTGAATCAGTTCTTCTTGACAATAAATTATCTATTTACTGCTGATTTGAATATTTTTTTTCCTTAACACTTTACTACTCAAGCCAGGGGAGCTGCAGGAACAGAGCAGGATACAAAATTTAACTTCTTTCAGCGGAAAGTAGAAGTCAGGCTAAACACACACAGCTACTCCACCAGCAGTAATTAAGAAACTTAAAAAAAAAACAATTAGGGGCTAAAAAGACAGACTTAAGAAACAATTAAGAATGATGATTATTCAAATGAGTGCATTCATAATATATGAATCATATAAGAGAGCATAATTTATGCAGAAAAATGAGAAGAAAACACCTTAAACCTTTCAATTTGTAAAGCAAGAAAAGAATTTTGTAAGAACAGCTGTGAAGCAAGTGGAAAAAAAAAAATCGCATTATTCCAAACATTTTATTTGTGACGGTGTTTTCTGTACTGCCAAGGAAGAGCAATGTCTGAAGGTACAGGAGGACATGATTCCAAAAACAATTATGATCTTCTGCTCTGTTTGTTTGTTATCTACAGTGGCTGGGACAACAGTGATTTCAGAGAATGCTGTTTCTCTCTGCCTAAAGTATGCTTCTTGAAGAGATCAGTCTTCCTACTGTCTACTCTTTCAGAAACACTTCTGCTTTGTCATCAAAAACTGAAGGCATAGGCACAAAAGTAACTAATGCCCACACGAAGTCTCCTAGTTGCTGGAGATGAGTTCAGGTCTACCTGTCTGCAACTGATGTACCTAAGTCAATCCTCCTCAAACAGACAAATCCTGACAACCAGAAGTACGCCTTAGTTTCACTTCTTTCTGAAAGCTTCACTTTCGTATCATTAAAACATACCAGAGAACAAATGAAAGGTGATGTTACCAGCGTGGAAACACAATACTGGCCAGAATTTAGCTGCCAAAAGGATACGCAGTTGACAGACTCTGAAAAGGAGCAGTGAGAGCAGAGGTTTTACTCTGAAGTTTTGTACGTGCATTTCACCAGCACCTCTGTACGAGAGCTACACTGTGCCTTTAGTTCCAGTGTCGGATCTAGCTGTTTCACCTTTAAAGGTCTGCTCAGCAGAAGGTCTGTACCGCTTTCGCTACACACGCATCTTCCCTTCTGCAAAACCTGTACGATCAAATGGCTTGACATTCATGGATGTATTAAAAGTTTCTGATAATGCTGGGGACACTTTGATATCACAGTCTGTACCTGTTTGCCAGGATTCTATATATCAAAACGATTTAAGTTGTAGGTAGTTGGATAGTTTTGCCGATTATACTGGAAGTGGTCTGTTAAGATATTGGCTCGACCATACTGATAGTCTCCATGTTGTGCAAACGCTGTAAGTCCGTTCTGAGACTTTTCCGGAGTGTTTCGATGCCGCTCCAAATTCACAAGGTCTCCAGTTGTAACTGGAAGTAGCTGCTTCTTTGCTTCTTGGTTTGCATCATATTTTGTCTAGGAAACAAAGAATGAATATTTTTCTTAGATACCACCCAACATATTCATAGAGCTAGAAAAAAGCATACAGTTTTACAACTACACTACTATCTGTGCTTGTTAGAGTCTTGAAATATTAGGAGCTTCTCATAAAAACCTCATTCCTCATATGCCAAATGAGTAAGCTGCTCTTTTGCTCAAGAGATTTGAGTGAGTTACTTCCCAATCTTCATTTTTCATGAAAATATTAACCTCAAAATTTAAGTTTGTTAGAAGCGGCCTGTCCCAAGTGCCTGAGTACTTCACATAGGCTACACACGTACCTCCTCTGCAATGAGGTTTTATGCCAGGCATCCCACATTTCTGTTCTGCTAGCTCTTAACTTGTTGTACAAAAAATAATTCAAAGCTACTGGACTCTTTCAAGTGAGTTTCCTGAATAAACCAACCAACCAACCCCTTACCTTGTTATATAAGAAGACCCCTAAGATAGCTGTCATCATTCCAAGGACATTGGTGCTCGTAACCGGGTTGCGAAGCATGATAAGGGACACTGTGATGACCATGATTCTTTTTGTGGCATTTGCGACAGAGTAACTTAGTGGGCTGATCAGGTTAAGAATACTGAAGGCAATGACATTCTGGGCAAAATTACAGAATCCACTAATTATAAGCAGCATCAAGGTCCAGGACCAATGAGACATCGTGCTCTGTTATAAAGAGAAACCAAAGGTAAGAAAAAATTATCTCAGGTTTCAGATAAGAGACAAAGAAACGCAAACACAACTTGAGTCACTTCTTACCTGCCACTGATAGGAAGAACATCTGCAACTCAGCTCTAAAGAGGCACCCAAGTATGTTACATTACACAACTACCAACTCAGAAAACATCTCTCTCCGTATCGTAACACACGTTCTGGGTGCATCGGTTCCTGTCTCCAGCTGCTCATTCCTGACATTTACCCTGTCACATATGCTACCTCTCCTAACCCTGACATGAATTCTCACGATAAACACTATGCTTCTTTTTTTTATATTGTTTTGTGAAATTATTTGGAGGTATTTCACAACAGTTCCTTCCATGCTGATGAGGAACTACACTGAAACACTTAAGTGCACTTTTTTGGTATGGGTGGTTGTTTGTTGTTTGTTTTTCTCTCTTTTATTCCTTAACAGCAAACAGTTTCCTAAATACAACACTTACCAAGTCATTCTCTATTAAGAAGGAAGAAAGATCAACCAAAACCCATGTTGGGATCATGAAGAACACAGCGTGGCACCCCAGTATATTCAGCAACCGAAGATGATGTATTCGGGAATCTCTTAACACCTAGCAAAAAACATCATTAAACAGCCTCGCTCCCGCTACTGCCCACATGACCAGCAGAGACTCCGGAGCCACACAACAGTAACAGCTTTAAATGACAGATAAATTATGAAAGTAAGTAAATACTATTATAGTATGAAATTCCTACAAGGATAATCAAAGAAAAACGGATGTCCATTTGAAAAACAGTGGTTTCCCGAGTGGTGACTCCTAGTATTAACAAGATAGTAAAGCGTTTTAAATGCCTTACAAACCAGAAACCATGCATTTTAACTTTGTTTCTAAGATTTCAAGGAGTGCCCAGTGTTGACACTGACTCATTCCCTACAAAGGCTTTGATACAGCAAGATACACTGAAGGCTTTCAAATGAACTGTTAAATTTAAGCCTTATTGAACTGTCAGCAGAAAAAAAATCCCTGACGAGGAGTAGAGAAAAGGCTCAGGATAAACTCTGACTTCTGCCCAAGTCTCAGTGTAACAGCTTCCACAGGTAGGAAGAGCTGGAGAGCACAGGCCTACAAAGTAGCCAACTGTTACTTTGCACTCCTTTGACTATAAAGTCAAGTTAAAAAAAAATATATATATGTATGTACTGGAAAACACATGCTGTCCTGCTAAATGATGATACTGCTGACCGGTGTTCAGAACAGCACAACTGTTACCTTCTTTGAGAAGATGTTCTGCAGTGAAAAACACAGAGTGGCAGCAAGCGCACTGATGAGTCCCCACATGTCAAAGGACAGTTCCGTGACAGTGGCCAGCAGGACACCAGTTATTATGGGGATCAGAGACAAGTACACCTGAAAGAGGAACCGAGAGCAGCAGCTTACATCTTCTAAGAATTTCCATTTCAACTGTGTTTACACACACCGCTGATGCGGGGGGGAAAGGAGAAGGAAGAATAAAGCACCAGAACCAGGGATCAACTTTTATACAGTTGTAGTTTGAGGAAATTAAGTGACTACAAGACACGCTGTAACAACTCCAGTGTATCAAGAGAGCTCCACGTTTAATCATGTTTTCTTTAAGTTCACAATAAAAGGAAAGGCAACTTGTAAAATCTGTGTAATCTCATTTCAATCACAAAATTCACCCAGCTAACCAAAGCCTGAGCTTTCCTGATCCCAGCCAGCAGAGCACACCACAGGCACCACCAAGAGAAGAAGCCTCAGCAAACCTGTCCGCACCTTCGTCGTCTGCTTTTCCTTCATTATGATCCGCGAAAGAAGAACCACCCATATCGGCATCGTCGCTTTTACTGAGAACGGAAAGAAAATGTCGGTGGGGATGCGATGCTTGGGGCAACTCCGCTGATCACCAGCAGCAGAGGGTGAGCGCTGGGGACGGAGGGGGGGGCTCAGGGCTGGTCCCACCAAAGCCATAAACTCGGGTCATCCCTCATCGTCACCCTGCTGGGCTCTCGTACGAACATGGGCTGGGCCTTGGTGTTCTGGGACACCGTGCCAGGCACCCACAGGGGCACGGGACGCTGCACTGGGCACCCACAGGGGCACGGGACACCGCGTTGGGCACCCATGGGGGCACGGGACACCGCATTGGGCACCCATGGGGGCACGGGACACCGTGCTGCGCACCTGTAGGATATGGGACACCGTGCTGGGCACCCTTGGGGGCATGGGACGCTGTGCTGCGCACCCACAGGATATGGGACACCATGCTGGGCACCCTTGGGGGCATGGGACGCCATGTTGGGCACCTGTGGGGGCACGGGACGCTGCGACAGGCACCCACAGGGGCACGGGACATGGGATGCCATGCCGCACGCCCACACGAGCACACGCTGGGCTTCAGAGCTCACTGCACCAGGGACCGGCACGCGCACTGGGGACGGGGACACAGCACCGGGCACCCCTGTGAGCACACACCGGCCTTCAGGCGGCTACCCCAGGCCCCGGGA